TTTGGACTTTGTACTGCACTTAAAACATTCATAATGTATTTAGTTGAATGACTCATAAAAATGATGCTTTAGGAATTCAAATTAATTAAATTAAAAATTTAACATGTTGTTAAACTAATGGAATCATATTTGTATTTCCATATTTCCAAATAGTGTTTCTGTGATGCCATCTAAGAAATAGCTTATTAAATAAAGCAGTAATTTCATACTACATGCTCACCTCTTCCCCCCTTTCCTTCCTGATGCACTTATTAAATACATTAATGCTGATAAAAGTAAGCACTGGAAGAGTTTGTCTCTAAAAGTAAAAACTGTAACACTGGGAGAAGGGAATCCATTAAAACTGCAATAAAAGTGTCCAAAAGATGTTATTACTTATTGTTAAGTAAACTGAAAAGTGACATGCAAAGAAACCTGAAAAATGTTAACAGATAAGGAAGCATATGCAAAACCCAGTCAAATTTAAGGGAAGTGAAAATGAGAAAACATATTTCAAAATGAAGGAGTGACTAAACAATGATTACACTTAGTTGAACTTAAAATAACTCAGGCAACAAGATAAAAAATCTCAACTTCACTATTCAAGAAATGAAACTATTTTAAAAAAAAAAAAAACAGAATGGAAAAGGGCTTTTTTTCCTTAGGGATAGTGGCGTCATATAAATATGTTTTACTACTTCACACAATTTACATAACTTGATTTACATAAATAAGTGATCTTTAAGAAATATTAAATCAATAAGTAAAATTATGATAAAAAAAATCAGCATCTTTTTAACCAGAAAATATTCTTTATATATTGTTGCGTTATTTCTTTTCCAAAACCAGTTGTTATGTTATTTTCTTCCTTCACGCTCAGATACGGGTTCATGTGAATTTGGAGTGAATAATGACGACGCTTCATGATGAAGTATCGAAACACACTTTATTAACCAGTATTGTCAGGACAGCTCCAAAACACGTTTTACAGTCGTCAATGAACTACTATAAACACCCTGACACAATCCGCGACATAGCCTTCAGGTTATCAGGCTATCACGGTGAAGACAGCTTCATGCAAAGGCCAGGACAGCCCGACTCTGCTGTCATGCTTGGAACTCCACTACTCTCGGACACCTACATACAACCAGATGCATCGATGACACACAGAGCACAGCCCCGAATCTCGGTTCAGCGTTCCGGAGCTCAAACACGCTCTCTCGACGTGCATAAGCAAACACTAAAGGATCCTTTGGTGAACTTGACGACCCACTTGGCACTCGTGCCCAGCTGTCACTCGATCGACTCACAGAGATTGACTCGTAGACGGATACCAACTCGATACTGACGAGGCACACTCATCGCCTCTTGATGAAGAACACTCACGCTAATTGGAGACACTCGCTCAATGACGGACTATAGCTCATTAGGCGAGGCACACACACTGATGCGAACAGCAGGGTTCATATAGCTTTAGTTGTGTTCGGGAACATTGGCTAAGCGGGAAGAATTCTTCCAGAAGGTTTCCATCCGCCCATGGTATATAGTCAATTTGTCGTAAAATGAGCGATTTCTCGCCAACGTGAACCAGCTTATGAACACCCTAAAATGCTTGTGGGGAAGCATCTTATCACGCTGTACATTTCGTACAATATGGGACTTACGTATTATCGCAAACAGAGTGCGCTATTTGTAAGTTTGAGTAAAAAAAGTATGAATAGAAGAAAAGACAGTCTTAATACAGATAATTTTAAACAGTTTTTTATATATTTTATTTTAAATATAAAATAGCAATTAAACCTTCGGTTTCGAATTTCATTAGTTGCAGACTTATTTTTTCGGCGGAAATCTTGGCTATTGCTTTTAGCATGAGTGAAAACGGTTCGCCAAACCATGTACGGCGACTATTTTACTAAAAAAAACATCCAGAATGCCAAAATGGATGCGCAACTCTTGACTTTATCCAAGTACATACATTTTCTCATAAATTACAAAAATTTGCGAAAATGCAGGGAAATTTGTAATCTCCACATGCTTTTTTACAAAACTACATATAACACGTAGGGTTGCCGTAAATAGGGTCGTGAAATTTGGCAATTTATGCGAATTTTGGCCTGGTTGCGTTAATAAGTAAGTACCACAATATGCACTAATATCATAACACAGAGCTAAAGCTTGACTATCAAGGAAACTAAGGAAATGTTGAATGCCAGATACATAAAAATTCCAGATAGTTGAGTATATAAAAACTGCAATTTACACATCTATAAAATAAACATCAAAAACAGATAAAAAAAAGCCTGTATTTTCCTTCCATTGTTGTAGTTTAAAATTCCTCTATAATATTGAAATTCCTTTATAATAATAATCATAACTAACGAACTATTTTATCATTTATGTCATACAGTCAAAAGTCGTTAATCCAGACTCGTCGTGACTTCGATTCCGGATTATCGATTTTTGCGGATTATAGATCATCAGTTTAAATTTGGTAAGATGGCATGCAGAAATTATAAAATTAAAAATATGAAACCTAATTTATGAAATAAAGAACAATTATGATCTAAAGGGTATCAAAATTTACAAAAAAAAAAAGCTTAATATTTATTTGTTTACTTTATTAAACATTTCTTTCAATGTAAGTTGTTTAAGTTGCTTCGTTTTTATGTGATAATAATTTCTTTTAATTCTATAAACAGACATAATTTCTTCAGTTACAAAGTTTCCGCTGTTCAAGTCCTATAATTGCTGTGTCGAGAATACCTAATAATTGTCAATCGAAATTTTTTCGTTTTCAATAACCTCCTGTCACTTCTTCACTATCGGAAGCGAATTATAATGACGAGGAATTTGATTTAAATCATATCAAAGGACGGAGTACATCGAGATGAAATACTACATTTAGTAAGGAATTATAAGCCAAATAAAATAAAAACATCTGCCCTGAAGATAAGGATAGTGCTGACAGGTCAACTTCGAATTCATTGCGCGCCGCCGTTCCCCACCCCCCCCCCAGAGCAGCGTGAAATTGATAAACAGATTTCGGAATGGTTAGAGAAACAAAGGATATGCCTTTATCCATTTTTTGCAGCAATTCCACTTTTTGTTTGATGGACTTCGAAACATACTTTCACTTTGTAGATCCTTTAGAAATATCTATCAGCTATTTGACATAATCGAAAGTTCAAGCTTACTTTTATAAAATTGCTCTAACAGTCTGCAAAAAATAATAAGTCGGATCGAATTCGAAGGAACAACGCAACCTGAAACATTAACTGAAATAGATAATTAGAGCTTAGCTTATACCATCCGTTATACATCAAACGCGCATGCGTAAACGTATTATGCGCATGCGTAAAAATATTCCGCGCATGCGTGGACGCATGCACAGAAAGTTTGTAGCTTTGAGATAAAAGTCGTTAATCCGGATTATAGATCATTCCGGATTAACGACTTTTGACTGTATTACAGTTGCATATTAAGAATTATACAAATAATTACTTTCATATTTTTATTTATATATGCTCACTGCCATAAAAATGTACACACCAAGAATTGTCAGAAATTTTCCATATGCGAGTGCAATGCTAACGTAAGTGAAGACAATGTCATATAGGTAGACACTGAGTAGATGATACAATACAGAGTATACTATCCTATGTCATTTCATTCCATAGCAGTATGCATACTTCTAGTTCGACTAAACTCCTAAGTGATCCAATTTGCCATCCCAAGAAATCTGAGATGTGCTCGATCAGTATAAAGCTGGGGACTGGGCAGGCCAGTTAAGCACAATAATACGGTGGAGGGATTCCGGTTAATCTTTGTTGCAAGAGGTCAAGTACTGTCCCGTTGAAAAACTGTCCTGCCATGAGTGGCAATAGATGCAGCACAAGGATGTCATACCAGGTGTTATATGCGACCCAATGCCCTATACAAACACATCAGCCATAATAGTGGCACCCGTGAAAAACGGTCTTGCCATGAGTGGCAATAGATGCAGCACAAGGATGTCATACCAGGTGTTATATGCGACCCAATGCCCTATACAAACACATCAGCCATAATAGTGGCAGCATGCTGCTGTTAAAAACAAAGGCAAGAATGAAGCATTCATCACAGTGCATCCACACACACAGTTATTGTCACTACCCAAACTAAAGCTCGATTCATTGCTAAACAGACCTAGCTTCATTCATCCAGTTTCAACATCACTCCAAATGGAGACAACTGTAGGTGAATAGTATTGGCAATGCATGCAATGAAAGTTACAATAAAAAATATTCTTCAACCAGGCACCCCATGATGGCACAGACAGATGGGCTTGTATCAAAAGAGCAGGCTATTTTTTAATAGCAGATAATGATGCAGTTGGTGCCGAGTGTGCATGTCTGTTATTGTGCTCTTGGTCTAGTGATATTATGATCCTCTTGGTTATTGCTCTGCAAAGGACATCTTGAGCCTAGCCACTATCTACTTGACCTCTTTTGGCCAGTGGTCCCAACAATCATATAGCAAAATCAGAATGGCCTAGGTAGGCTACTTGCCAAACTAACTACATAGCTTCCATCATACAGGTGATTCTCCTCTTCTCGAACTTGGACCAGCTGATAGATTGTACCATCTTCATTGGCTGTATAATAAATAGCATCCTTAATGAAAATATGTCCCTCTGAAACATATTATGTACAGATAAAATGCCTCTACATATCTTTTTTATGTGCCAAGGAGAATGAAGTTATACACCCTCTGGTGGCATTACACAATCTTACAGTATTTCTAATAATTTTGCATATTTTCATGTTAAGTTTTTTTAAGGTGCGACAATTACTGCTTGATGTACAAATTTTTATCGTAATGAGTATATTTCATGCTTAACAATTTTAAGTGAGCAACATATTTTAAAGCTATACTAAATATTTTAATCACATCAGAATACATTTTATAACTTAAATTTAGATAAATTATATCATAAAAAATTTAACCCCTCACAATAAAAGTAATGAATGAATTTCACCCACTTTGCCTTCTGTCTTCAGAAGATGCTGAATTAGAAGATCTTGATTTTTCTTAAGACTTTTATCATCATCATTGTTGTTAAGAAGCTACCAAAATGAAATTAAATTTTAAATATGAAACTAGAATTCTGACAAGGTTTTTAAGATTTGTTTTATTTCACTAAAAAAATAAAACATGATTATAATAGAATAAAAATTTATCCATCATTTAAAATTAAATTTAAAAACAATGATAAAGTATCGAGCTAAATTTTTAAAACTATTTTGAAATGAAAAATATTACTAATGTAAGAATGGCACGTAATATTTTAATAAGAAAATTTATGGCAAAAAACAGAAATCCAATAGTCGCCATTACAAACAGGCTTTATTATCATTATATAATCTCAGAACTAATTCCTGTTTAGTGCTTCGATAATTTTAATTATTAAGACAATATTCACACGTAAACTAGGAGGCATTTCATCTTATCACAAACAAATCTTTCTTTTTAACAAAGAGAATATATAGCCTCACAGAGCAAGGGATGGAAAATACTGAAAACTATATAGCCCTCTAACAGCTAGTATTTGAAATGAAAACAGATAATATTGACAACTTTTTTCTGCTTTCAAGAAAAAAAAAAAAAACTAAAACACACCAGTAAATTAAAATATTATTAGATGCACAGCTAACTGGGGAAACAAGCTTATAAACACTTAAAAATGTGAAAATTAACAGAAAATAATTTACTATGCACAGTTCTAAAAACAAGTTTATAAATACTTTAAAATGTAAAAATACAATAAAAATGTCAGCCATAACTAACATAAGATTTTTAAAAAATACTTTCAAAAATCTTACTGAGAAAAACTCAGATGTTAAGTTACAAATGCCCAAATATGGAAAAAATTAGATTCCAAAAATATGGATACAAAAGCCAATCTCTTGCAGTTTCAGATTATATAACAATAAAAAGAGTTTTTTTTACATGCTGTACAGTCAATAAGCAAAACTTTCAGGTAGCCATATATGGCACTGTTTAAAAGTGCTACTGTTATAAACTACAAATAACAATATTAAACAAAAATATCAAAGCTGGAAAAAAAACTATATTTTGGAAAATCAATATTATTTATGCTGAGAGACGGTGCCATCAATCATTCCCTGGTTGAACAAGTCAAATAGAAGCCAGCCCATGGCAATAAGTGATGCTCTTTCATACAGTTGAATGCATGCATATAGCACGCTTTGTGCAACTTTCAATGCTCCATATTCTATACTTTAAACATAATTCTCTATAATTGTAATGATTTTTGGACTAATAATTCAAAATGTAATATTAACAGTACTGCTCTTGTCTGGTAATATATACAGCATTTATAAATGTTAAATATGAATATTTACAATATAATTTATTTTTTAGACAGATGCAGGTTGAAAAGACATTAAATTACATCAATCAAAACCATATGAAAAGATGCCAGCAGAAATCAGGATTTTGTAACAGAAGTTTTCAAAAACTAACTAAGCCAGAACAAACTGACAAATCATGTTTCAGGAAAATGGATGAAATACTATGAAGAGTGATGGTATGAATACACAGAGAAACTGTTCCAAACAATACAGGAATAGTACATCATTTAATTGACGAAATCATCCTTATTTTACAACAAACTCTGACAGAACTAGAATTCCAATTAACTTATATTCCGCTTATTTTAAAAATAGATGTGTTTTAAAATCAGGAAAAACACTGGAATCATCTCTTAGGGCTGCAACAAAGAACTTCCTTTACCTTCCACACATATAGATGACCATTCTTATTCTTCTTAATAAGTTGAATCCTAACAATGAAACAGTAGAAACTGGAACCTAACCCAACAATGAAGGGAAAAAACAATGGCACATCTTTTTATATTTTGGCTTGATGCAATTTTCCATAAAAGCTACAATTTTAAAGAATTTTTAAATGTAGCTATAGAATGTGAACTAGTTTATTTTCTACGTGCTGTTAATGTGAGTGAGTGATGACAAATGAATGCAACAACCAATCTGAACTGACTAAAAATTAACAAGATGTAAACCGGAATACCATTGAAAGAATTTAACAATCAAGAAAAAAAATCTACTGAAAATTAAACTGAACATTTTAAACAGCTCATACAGCTCACTTTTTGAATAGTGTTGTATCAGGCTGGCCACCTTATTCCTTTCAACTGTTCTGTTATTTCTATAATGCATGCAAGCATTTGTTTTGTTTGGGGGGAGGTAGGAAAAATGGTCACTAGGAAAGTAGATTTAATCCCAATAATTGTTATTTCAACAAAGTTTTAGAGAAGTATGATTCTGACTTTAGTGGAACATTTTATTGGTTATGTGCTCATTGATAAAGATTCCCTGTATTTCAAGACTTTTTCTGGAGCTTATTGCATTATTTTGTGTTTTTTTAGGAAAAAGACGACAGTAAAGCAAAATATGACACTTTGCTATCACCTGCCATTTAAAGAGAACTGTAATGAACATGAAATTTTTACCTACATCAAGTTTCTGTTAGTAACACATGCAATAAATAACAGCTTAAAAGGAAAATAAGCAACTATTATATAAACTAATGGATGAATTCAGATTATGTTTGAATAAGTTAGTTAAATAACAGAAGCATGCAAATAAGGTAAGAAATAAAGTCCTAATCTCTATAGCAATGATACAGAAAATAGATGCAAAGTTCTTACTTCCTCTCTTTATAGTTTTAAAACTACACATACTGATTAGATATTTTAAATAAAGCAAGCTAATCTAATCAATCATTACATAAAAATACAAAATAAGATCTATGAAAATAACATGCAACCATATTTATACACTCAAAAATGCTTTTCAGGAAGAAGGGATTAGTCTGCAAGAAAATTACATTTTTTAAACCTATAATAACTAAAGATTCAAAAAAAAAAAAAAAAAAAAAATTCTTGAGAGAAATTTGACAATACACTATACACCGCTTAATTAATATATTGAAAAGTTCAATATTTTATCAATGCTAAGACTCCCAAATTTTTAAATTATATTTTAGAATACTTGTCTTATGCATCAATTTAGCCACTTTATGATCAAAATTATTATAAGCATATCAGTAGCTGTAAGTGTAGCATTAGTAGGTAAAGCCCTAGTAATTTTAAGTTTACTGATCTTGTTAAATGACTTTTCTTAGAATACTCCTTTAATATTCAAAACTGCATTTACATCATACATTAATTGATCTGTTAACACATCCAAAATTCTAACTGCTTGTTTCCCATGCCTTTTATGCATTCTCTCTTTTAAAGGAAATTTTATAATATATTCATGGCTTAGTTCAATATTTTTAAATATAATAAAAACTTTTTTAGTGTTTTCCATTAACCTCAACTAATGTATTTTAAACACACACATAGTAACTAATGACAAATGACATTAATTCTCAAGAAAAGTTGCACATCAATACAGTCAGTTGTGGTGGTCTGATGCCTGCTAGGCATTCAAACCGACCCTATTTCAAACAGTCAGTATTGAACATATCCATTACTTTAATTATGAGAGTATTACCAAAGATCAACTTTAGGGCTATAAGTTCATTTTTCACATTTAAACAAAAGGAAAGTTACTAAGCTATTACATTTCTGAGAGCAGCTGATATATAATAAACTACTAGGAAAATCATCTAAATACAAAGCATAATAAATATTTAAAATGTCATCATAATAAAAATCATCTATGAAGTTTCATGAGCAATTTTTTCAATTCTTTTCACAAAATTTTAAGAAATATCATTGCATGCACAGTAAAATTACACTTTAGTCTCCAATTAAATGCAAATAAAAATTTCAAAGTAACCACTTTCTTCATATTAGATGTCTAAAAAAATTATTTGCAGCCATGAACATATTGTTACAAATTTGGTAAATAAAAAGCTAATGTTAGTTCAATTATAAATTTAAATGGTTTTATTTCCCGCGCAGTGCAGCGCGTGACAAATGTTAAAAGAAAGCTAAGCCGGAAAATTGAAAATACAAGAGCACGTGCATTAAATATTTAATAAATATCTCTTTTTGATTTCGAGAAACTACTAGAAAATTCTAGCACGCGATTTTTAAAATCTTATAAAAGGAGGAAAACCTCTCAGTTCGTAGTTGTTACTTAGTTTGTTGATGTTTAGAAAACTGTTCTTGTTGACTGTAGCGAATTCGCGGATTAGCTTTCTTTAGCTGTTTTGAATTAAGTTCTTTTGAATGTTTGAGTAGTTAGAAGATAACTACTGTGATATATTGCGATACTGCACGGTTATTTGAGGACATTTAATCATATTTATTGTGATAATAATAAATTTTTTGTTCATTTTTCATCGGACTTGTGCATTCATTTCGTAACGAACCCATACGCACGCAACAATATATTTGGTACTTTTCTGTTTCGCCGGCACCAAAAATGGTACAACTGATGCCAAATGGAATATCCTCACTGATAACCTTTCACGCCATATTTTCAAAACAAGTCGCTGCTATTTCTTATCAGATTGATCGTTTCTTTCAATACTGGCATACAGTTACATAGAATGTTTAAATTATAATATTGAAATAATTCTTGCTTTTAAACTTGTATTCCATGCTCAGATTTAACTTGAAATTAATGTAGATAATTATTAAGAGAATCAGATTTTTGTAGCGTAGTTTACGTGAGATGAGATCATTTGGGGTCACGTGATATGAACCAACAAATCAGGGTATTGTTAATTCTTAACATCTTTTTACAAATATGTCAAAAATGGATGAAAATATGGGATTTGCCCAGGACAGAGGAAGAATCCGTCAAGCAAAAGGCATTTTGCCTAAAGTTGCTATTTTGTGATAGTAATCATGAAATGAAATTATATTTCGGAGACAAAATTCAATGGCTTGAGTCATCAACAGTGAGTTTCTTGAAGTGTGTAAGATTTATTTATGGTTGGAGTGAAGAATTGACTTCAGTTAGATGGTGTGAAAAGCAGTTGGAAATCAGTCACGGAACAGTTGTGGATTGTAATAACTACATGCGAGAGGTTTGTGTGGTTCTTCACTTAAACATCAACAACGCAAAATAGGAGGACCTGGTATGATCTTTGAAGTGGATGAAAGTATGTTCACTAAGCACAATCTTTGGTGGAGTTTGTCGTGAAACAAATGCATGTTTCCTTGTGAAGGTGCCAAACAGATCCATGAGTATTATATTAAGGGCAATAAAAGAAAATATCAAAAGAGGAACTACGATATATTCTGATTCATGGAAATCGTATTACACTGAAGAACTGGAAGAGGAAAGTCTCTAACACTTCAAAGTGACACCATAAATACAATTTTGTCAATCCGGAAACTGGAATACACACAAAAAATAGAAAGACTATGGAGATAATGTCAAATGGCGGAATAAAAAACACAGAGGAATGGCTAGTCAATCATCTGAAAAGTTACCTTGCCAAATTTCTGTGGCAAAATGACACAAAAGACCCATTTGAAAAAATTTTAAATGAAGTCATATTAAAATATTTATGCCTCCAAAATAAAAAAATTCTTAGAACTAACATTTGTTAAAATTTTTTATGTGTATAGTGTGTGTTGTTGCCAATAAAGTCTGTTGGTGAGATTTGCAGCGGCGAAACAGAAAAGTACCATATATTTTTATAATCAGCTTAATATCTGAAATTATTTTATATCTCAAAATACATATCTGTAATCTCTGATGCACTACATACATCAGTAAAGGAGATTCAGAAACTAGCAAGAAAGATTTAAATATTAACAAATTTTTATAAATCTTTTCTAACACAGGATTTAAATCTGTATTTTCAGAAATTAATGGTACTTCCTTGATATTATGGTCTTTATTGTTTTTAAATTGCCCAAGACCTTTTTAAGTTTATCAAGAATATGCCAAAGCATCAATCTTATTCATAGCTCTTTGTAAACAGTCGCCAAAGATTGGCAGTCTTTACCAAATTTAGGAGTAATTTATAGTTTGTTTACTGATCATGAAAAGACCTCTCAGAATGACTGCCAATTAATAGTTCATTAACAACAGAGCTCTTGGAACTGTTTAAATAATTGGGAGGGGTAAAAATAATTAGAAAGTACCTTATTAATCATTCAACTCCACTTTCCTAATAAAGTTATAAATTTAAATTTGCATATATTTCACCTAACATGAATTAAAACTCTGAGCAGTGCAATTTTAGTTTCTATTTTCATAAACTTACATTCATTAAAAAGAAATTTACATTATTAAAGAAAACAAAATATCTTAAATTATAAGCTAATATATACCAAGTGACAAAATATCTCATGACCGGATAAAGGCAGTCAAAGCCATTCAGACAGTTAGAGAAACATTTCTTGGAAATAGTTTCGAAAAACTTTTAAGGTATTAAATCCTTCAAAACAAATATCAAAATTATAGCAAATGTAATAGAACTTGCATAAAACCACACAAAATTGCTTATTCAACTTGCTTAAAATATATATTTTTTATTCTTAAAATTTATTTTGATGATATTTCCTAATCAAAGCAGCACACTGCATAAAAACCTTGAATCATAACTGAAATTTACATGTTCAAGTAATTAAAGATCACCTGCCCATGCAAAATCGGGAATTAAATTTGCTAGTTTCTGCAACTAAGCGAAATAGCTATCCTAAGAAAGCAGAAGTAATTCTGATTATCATACATACTTAAAATAATCAAAATTATAGCAAATGCAACACAGCTTGAATAAAATTAACAAAATTACTTATTATGTTTAAAATATTTTGGAGAATGTTATTCCATGCAGATGAAAACACTAAAGAATTTTAAATTTAATAATGGGATGCCAAAAATAATAATTTTACATGAAAATTTACTTACTTTTCTTAGCATGTTATTGTTATTTACAGTTCTCTTTTGTAGGGCATCATTTGTACATATATCAGTTATGTTAACATTACAGTTTGAATCACATGAAATATTTTTTGTGTTATCATCACATATATCTTCATCTTCTTGATTCAAAAGTTCTCGAAGGATAATGTTTTCATTTCGTGAAGACACAGCATCCGCGCTATTGCAAGACACAAAACCATTTTCTGTATCGCCAGCAGTGTCCTCTTTTTCAGAAGAGTTTTTAGGAACAGATGAATCAGCCTCCTCAATTCCGTGTGTAAGGAGATTGCGCAGTTTTTGAGCTGCGTTGTTTGTGGAGTTTTTGCTATCACCTATCAAGCCTCCCATAGGACTTAGAGTGGAGAGGTCATTATTATTCAGAGCCGTAGACTCTTCACGCTTTATAAGATTCGGTGCTGGGGAGGAAGTCCTACTAACAGCTTGTGAAGATACAGGGCTAAAAGGAAAGGTGTTCGTATATGGAGTAACCCTGCCAGGAGCAGGACTTCCGGTAGCACTAAGCTGAGCTGGAGACCTAGTGGAGGGCGAGCCCCTACCAGATATCAGTTCCGGACTGAAGGCACTGCCAGATGGATGCTGAGTTCGTTGCTGAGCACCTGAATTGTTGGTACTGACTGGAGTCGATGGCCCTCCCAGTGAAGTAGATAAATTTGCATTATCTCCTATATCTTGGCCTTCACTGCTACCCAAATCCCAGCTGGAAGAAGGCAAAAAATCCAGTCCAATGTCATTGAGATTAAAATCTTGGGGACTTAAAGAAGTAAAGGTATAGGAATTCCCATTCATATTGTTGCTGAGTGATGTTACACTAGCAGGCGAGGGATTGCTTCTTTGAGGAATTAATGCACTATTTTCCAAGCAATGATCACTGTCCCTATAAAAGAATGTATTTTTCAATATTAAATACAACAGATTTGTCATAGTGATGAATGTAACATTATAGCACACACAAACTGAGGCTGGGATTATATGTAAATATTCTTTACTCTATTTTTTTTCAGTTTTATTTTATGTGAAAATTAAACAAAAAGAAAACAAACTGAAAAATACCAAACATTCCAAAGCCCAGAATATCAAAAACAATAGTACAGTCAAGACTTTAATCCGGACTCGCCGAGACTTCGTCGATTCCGGATTATAGATCATCAGTTTAAATCTGGTAAGATGGCATGCAGAAATTATACAATTAAAAACATGAAATCGTAATTTATGAAATAAAGAGCAATTGTGATCTAAAGGGTATCAAAATTTACAAAAAAAAGCTTAATAGTTATTTGTTTACTTTATTAAACATTTCTTTCAACACGCACATGCGTAAAGCATACATCACGCATAGTCGAAATTAGAAAATTGCAACCAGAAAACTATTTAATGTGTATTTGTGATATTTATAATGACGAGGAAATTGATTTAACCTGTTAACTGGGGAATAAGCTTTCAGTAAAATCGTTTCACAATGGGGACTTTTCCTTTGCAGTAATTTCAGCACATCGCAAGGAATAAATAAAAGAAAATCGTTTTAAAGTATTTAATGATATTAAATATTAAAATTAAACATTTTTAATCCGGAAAAACAAATTAATTGAACGAATTTAAACAATTATTTCGTATAATATAAAAACTAAAGCAATGCAGCATACACAAAGCAACACTGCAGTCGGGACACCAAAATCTTGATTCTTTCCTAAGACCTTTAGAATAGCATAATTTGCATCTCGTTACATTTACTCTTGAAGAGTCGGATGGTATATAGTCTGCAAAATGTCTTTCAAAGAGTCGAGATGGTTTTGGTGTCAAAGATGATCATCCTGTCCTAGTAGATGGGAACTGCGATCCATCTTTATATTTTTCAACACCTTTTTCTACAGTTTTGATAAGGAAATGAAGCCTATCTAGGTGACCTCCATCTTTCTTGTATAAAAGATATGCATTCAAACGCACCATGTCTAGTGCATGTAAAAATATCTTATAGTAATACTTTTTACTTGGTTTCTAGCGATTTCATAAGTTTTCATTTGTCCGTCAGCAAGATCAACTCCTCCCATATTTTTGTTGTAGTCAGCCATAACTTCCGGTTTTGATATCGTTTTCCTTCTTTTTCTATTTCTACAAATTTATTGTCGTGGATAATACTCAATATAATTACATCCTTTTTGTCTTTCTACTTCATAATCATTCAGATAAGATATTTTTACATGCACTAGACATGATGTGTTTGAATGCATATCTTTTATACAAGAAAGATGACGGTCACCTAGATAGGCTTCATTTCCTTATCTAGGTGACCTAGACAGTCTTCCTTTCCATAGCAAAAGAGACTCATCTACAGATATTTCCTTATCTGGTACGTATAACACCTTGAATTTGTTTCTCAAATAGTTCAAAATGGAATCGATTTTGTAGGTTTTTTGTTGCACACTTTTAGATCAAAAGCATTGTTATCACTAAAATGTAAATATTTTACTAACAGTTGGAATCTATTTTCTGACATAGTTTTATAAAAAAAGGAGTCTCCAGACTTTCTTGCTTTGTAAAATAAAGCTGATAAGAAGGTTTTCCTATTATTCCTGCAAAATTAGTAAAAAAAATAAATACTCTCATCTCTCGGTCATCTATGTCAATCCATGACAGACATCTTGAACACGGTTTCATGGAAGTATTTTTTTCAAAAAACTGTTCCACAACAAGTTCTACAAAATTCTCATCGATAAATTTCTCGAAATAAAAAAGGCAATCCTTTTCTTCAGGTCCTTCAAATGTAAGTCTAGATTGAGATAAAAACAGGAAAGGCGATCGCAATATTCTTTCAAATTTCCATTCAGCTGATGTCGGTTGAGTATTTTGGTCTATAACATCATCATCCTTTGATTCAATGTCCGGACCATTTATCGGAAGTCATTATAGCTTTCTTCCGAACTGGTACTTATCCTTAGAATTCGACATCGTTTACCAAACCTCCCGGGCAATATTTCATCGTCACCTTCAGACAATTCAAAAATATTTTCTGCTTCACAATAATTTTGAGCCATATTTATAAAAAACTAACAATTACTCAAATCAACAAGTTATTACTAATATGTAAAATACTGAAATGCAGACTAAAATGAAATTAGTTGTGCAAATTAGGAGTGTTATCACAATTATGAGCGGACAAGTGTTTCCATTGATCGATTTTTCTTGAACAACGGTCAAGTCACAGATTGCAAAAAAATGTAAGAAAAATTTGGTCCATGCCATTTGAAATAGTCTTCCCAGCATCGAAAATTTCGTCATACCGAAAATTTCGTCATACCCATTGAAATAGTCTTCTCAGCATGACGAAAAATTTCGTCATACCCAGTTAACAGATTAAATCATATCAGAGTTCATCAAGATAAAATACTACATTTAGTAAAGAATTATAAGCCAAATAAAATAAAAACATCTGCGATGAAGATGAGGATAGTGCTGACAGATCAACTTCCAGTTCATTGTGCGACGCGACGTTATTAGGCTTATCGGCACTTAACTCCTTCGCGCCGACTGTCACGTATACGTGCCAGCAACGAACACACTTACCTACCGGCCGACACGCAGGTGTGCCAGAGGATTGTTCCGTTCTCTACCGACTGTCACGTATTTGTGCCAGTACTTTGGAACGTTTTTCAAACTATAATTTCTGCCACAAGATGGCACTGTATGTCCATATGGTTTCAGATACATGTACATTAGACCTTCTACTCGAAATGAGAGAAGCATGACTCACATACACGTGTTTTTGATTATATAATCCGAATGGCGTGATTTATGACGTCTCTTTAATCGCACTTTATTCACACGTGGTAGTTGTTTACTGTAAGTAGAGAAGTTTTATTTGCTCTAAAGCGTTGGGTATTTCGGTTTGCAGTTCAGTTTTTAGAAAATAATTAGATCTTGTTAGACGTGAATTCTTTGTTTTCACCGTTGCAATGTCGAAAACAGAGCATGAAATAGCAGAAATGATGCAAAATATTTCAGATATTGATTCTGAAAGATTAACTGAAAGACATTTTCCAAAACTTCGTTCAGAAGAGACTGATAAGAAAATGAGACGACGATGCTTCGTTTGTTCACATTCCCGGAAAAATCCTCCAAAACGGCAAATGAGTTATTACGAGTGCAAGGAATGTAACGAGGACTGTGTGTAGATCCCTGTTTTCAAATTTTTCATACGAAAAGAGAATTTTAAGTAATATATTTAGTTTTCAGTGGTATAATGTTAAAATTCATAAAATGGTGAGTAATTAAAATAAAATGTGTAAAATATGCATTTAAACAAGAAATAAGGTAATTAAAGTATATATATAAAAATATCTATAAAGCATAAGCCGTTTAAATACTCTATAGAGCATTATTAAACAATGTGTGGATACTTCGGAAATTTCATGGATTTAGGCTTAGTAGCAAAAAAGCCCCCGGCCCTGGAGAGACGCTCAGGTAAGACACTGCCGGCCTCAGCGATAAGCGCGCGTTTTCGCTACTCGGCTCGAAGGGGTTAAACAACTTTAAAATTGTTGTTAATTCTAAAAATATTGCATACATATTTACTAAAGGCATAAAAACCTTAGCCGGAAGATAAAAACAACATAATTCAATCATTTTTAAAGCAAGAAATGTACAATTTACAAACATATAAGAGTAAAGAAACTGAGATAACTGAGCCGGGTAACAGAGTGAATATATATATATATATATATGTTTGGTGCGGCCGATTGCAACCAAAATACGAGGTGCACATCTACATGTTATAGCAGTCCTATATACAAAATTTCAACGTTCTGAGGCTAGTCATTTTCGAGTTATGCGAGATACATACGTACATACGTTCGTACAGGTGCCACGAAAAATTCTCTTCAGAATTCATTTTAAAGCAGTTTTCTAATTTTTTTTGAGGAAAAGAGTCTTTTATTCTGTCCTTACATACAGATATCATGCAAAAACATCGTTAAATTGCATTCGATAGCAGTCAAAATGGATATTTTTGCTGAAATATGCTGCCTGAAACTTTTTGCGATTACAACACTTCCTTTTTACTTCGTACGAGGAAGTAAATATATTATTTTTTAAATAATCAATATTGTTGTTGCAGCTTTGGCTGATAACAGGACTAAGTTTTATAGTGTACTAGATGCTTTTCTCTGGGATCATATAAAATATGACAAATTCTGAGCAGTAATAAAAGAAGTATGCAAAATATTAGTTAATTTTCAGATCTGATATTTTGAAAACTGTCTTCCTTTAATATGGGTTCAATTTAATATGCAACTATTTGGTCATCTGGAATGTTTTGTGGTTTCCTGATACAGTGGTTATTAAACTAATACAGCAGTTTAAAAAAAGGGTCATTGAACAACATAAGTACAAATTTTTTAAATGATCTGCCCTAATCTTAATATCAGACAGACATGTTGATTAACGATAAATGTCATGAATTCTCAAGATGGGTTTCATGGTAATACGCTCAGTATTGAATACCGCCTTTACTTTAATTACGACAATATTTATTATGATACTGAAGTTCTGTGCTATCATTTTCTTTTTGCCTTCTCACCAGCAGCTGAAAGCAAAAACAATAAAGTCATCGGGTTTATACATAAAAGTATTATTGAGTCCTGTTTTGCAATATCTAAAGAAATGAACTTCACACTGTTGGAAGAATTTTCAAGTGACCTGAAGAGCCAAAGTGGCAAGGTTTGATGATATGGGAAAAAGAAGCACAAAATATCACACCCATATTCTGTAAATCTTTGGCTGATATTCATCAAAACTGTGGATAGCAACTGCCATGATGGAAGACAATTCAATAATTTAATTAATTTCTAGGTGCTTTGATTTCTTCTTTTAAAATTGCCATTTGAGATTTTTTATGAATTTATTCTCCAATTTGGTGGGAACAGTTCACAGCATATAATTTCTTAGTAGTCCCAGCATGCATTACATAGCCATTTTAATTAGGAAAGTGCAAAAGTTTGTTTATGTACGCCCACAATGTCTTTAATGTAAATTCATTATGAAAAGTTCATATATTTCTGAAAAATATTTGATTTATCCCCTAATCTTTATTCAGAAGATATCCCTCATTGATTGGAAAAGAAGTGTCAAAGTAAAATTTAAAATTAGGCAAAAAAAAAAGGAATTCTAGTTTGGCACACTTTTTTTAATCTGCCTGAAGGAAATGAATCTTGTGTTTCTATTCTTACTACACAGAAACAAATATTCTGCAACAACATATGCTAAAATTATGTAATACAAACAGAAAATGGAGTATTTAAACATCTGCTACAATCAAGCTCACCCATTACCAACAGTAACAAAATAATTAGAAGAAAATGTCTTTCAATTTGAAAAACTACAGTCAGGATGCCAAGTAATTGAGTAATAAAATTTTCAAAAACTGAAAACATACATGATGATAAAATGCATAATTATTTATATTTTACTTCCACCTGTAGGCTGTAAAAAGAAATCTGATATCAAACGAGAAGTCACCTCTTACTGATTAAAAGCTATCATTTTAAAAAAAGGGGTATGGCAATTTTAAATCCCATAATAATCTGAAAAATATGCTTCCAATTAACTTCAGCATAATTTATGAACTACACAAAGTTATCAAAAAAATTCATCAAGTACATAATTAGTTTGACATATAACCCAAAAAATATGTTAAGATACAAATCTCAATCACAAAATCATAAAAAAAAATACTTTATAACAGTATGGTTAGCAACAATAATCTCTTAGTCACTGGCCATAGGGTTACAAATCTCAATTATAAAATCATAAAAGAATACCTTATAACAGTATGATTAGCAACAATAATCTCTTGGTCACTGGCCATAGGGTTACAGCTTAAACGTTTGCTTTTTGTTTGCACGTGAACAACTTTCTCGTGAGCTAGTCTTAATCTATAGATGCCACTGGTGTTACTGCCTTGCTGGAGGGCTAGGGGGGAAAAAACCCAAAAACATGCTAAGTTTATATTCAAGACAAATACTTAATTCCAGCTTTTGACTATAACAAAAGTAAGAAAAATATACTTTCTAAAACTGTCAGAACATATTTTGCAACTTAATCATTAGCAGTAAAACATTTTGACACACAATATTTATTTCATACAGATGAGTGCATGCATTAATTCACAGCACATAAATGCAGGAAATTCAATTATTAATATTTTACTTCTGCTGATGCTATTCAATGAATATGTTTGGTAAATATTTAACACAAATATTTTATACATGATTTTTAGTCATTATTCCTTCTTTTAAAGAAAGACTAAATTATAAAAAGAGATACTTGAAAATATCTCTAAGATGAATGTTAAAATGAAAAATTTATTACTGTGACAATTCTTGAGCAAAAACAATAGAGAACAGTTTCAGGAATGCACACTTTTAGAACTGTAGACAATAAGGGGGTTTTTGACATACAGCGCCACGACATACAACTCGTACAATACAAAATGCAAACATAAGTATCCTTGCTCAAAACAAAGCCCCCTTTCCCCAAAAAAACTCACTGCTGGAAAGTACATAATAATTGTATGAAATATAACAACCAGTTGGGAATAACAAGCATCATGTAAAACATATATGATTACTGTTTCCATTCTTGGCTACAAACTAAATAAAGGTACTTCCCGATTATCTGTACCCACAGTTTCAACACTCATTGTCATGTTTCTAGCATATTTTTTAGTATACCCAAGACAACAACCAATCATTGAATATGTACACCACACATGTGTTTAAGTACATATGAATTCACATGCTTCATACATTAAACTGTCGTTTCATTGACAAGTAAATTTTTCAATCCAAAAGTTGTGAAAATGAAAGTATCTTCAACACAGAACTTTGCTTTTTCCATGCACAAAATCTTGTTCCTAATAAAATGCTCTTTTTTATTATTACTTAACAGAACAGTACCTATGAACCATAAATATTCCCAAACAACTGCTTTACACCATTCACACATCAATAAGTTGACTTTTCCTAGGAAAGGAAATAATCAGAACAAAATAAATAATTTAAATGAATAATATTCATTGATAACACATATACAATCTTGTGAGAAATATTTTATTTAAAGCTTCCCCCCCCCTTTTATCCCTGCTTATTTTAGCACACATACGTCAAACAAATCCTATGAAAATAACAAAAAGAGAATGTGAAAATTAAAGCTTTAACAAAGGCTGCTTAATTTATATTATCACTTCAAATTTGACAGTTTTCATATACATGTATGCTAAATTTAAGCTAATACATATATTTCATATGTATCAGGTTTTAACAAAAGTTTAAAGTCACCCCAAATAGCGTCTGTGGAAATAGTTCCCATTGGCATGTTTAATCTTATTTTGTCAAACGAATTTTGGCATTTGAAAGAAAAGAGATTTGCTTTAGAACACTTGTGTTGTAAAATCTGTAAAAAAAAAAAAAAATTAAGTACAAGGTGTCCAAAGTAGAACTATCACGCTCTCAAGTTAGAACCATCACCTACTTCCAGTTCTGCTGCAAAAATATCAGCTACAAAATGTCACCAAATCACGTGTACAACTTTAGGTACTAATGCTGTATAACACTGTGAAGGTTTGGTACTGAAAGTTCAAAAACAAGGACAATGACAAGAACCAGAGCAATCTGGACAGCCTACTGATGTTGATGAGGCCTGCCTGTAAGACCATGCAACCACTCGACAGCTTGCTAAGCAATGCCATGCCCATTAGTTGCACTATGCATTGCACAAATTTGATATTCTCAAGTTCAATCAACTGGGTGTCGCATTAGCTGGCTCAAGCAGATAAGGAGAAACTTGTTCGGGTGTGCACTAATCTGCATGAATAAGAACGCAAATACAAAATTCTGAACTGGATCATCACTTGTGATGAAAAGTGGATTTACTTCAACAACACACGGTGGAAAGGGGATTGGTCTGCTCATGCTGAGGCCACCGGCAGTGTCGCAAAGTGCAATTTGACTAACAAAAAGATCACGCTTTGTATCTAGTGGGACTGCCATATTATCCACAAAGATTATCTGGAAAACGTAAAGCCCTCGGGGGTTACAAGAGAGATGCTAGCCCGTGTTGATGCTATTATCAAGGGAAAATGTCGAACTGAGTTCCAACGCAAATGGTAATGTTCCATGAAGATAATACAAGACTACATGTGTGTCTGTATTCACTGGCTGACTCTGTGCAGACTCGAATGGGATCTTTTGCCTCCATCATATAGCCCCGACATCACTCCTTCAGACTACTACCTTTTTTCACACCTGCAGCTACATCTTACTGGTGCTTTCTTCTATTCTGCACAGGACATCCAAAATGAGATTGATCAGTTTTTGAACTTGCGGCCTCCAAATTTCTGAGGTGAAGGCTTTGAAAAACTACCAAAATGTTCACAGAAAATTATAGATTTTGGGATAATTATTACCTGCACTAAAGATACTGCTTTCATGGGGTCCCCACCCAACTTTATTAAGAGTATTTTGGGGGGAGAAACTTTCATTACAACCATTAGCATTTACATGATATATATATATATTTAAGCAAAGATGAAGGTCATTTATTTAAGTACTTACTTTCTTTTAAATGTTGAGTAAGCTTCTGAATATCATCAGGGTGACACAGTTCTAAAATTATTCGCCCCACTAGATCTTTATTGAGATACTGACTATATGTAGCAGACACCCCACTGAAATTTAAAAAAAAAAAAAAAGTTTTAATTTTTTTAAATGAAAGTATGAAGTCTGACTCTTACATTTCACATACTTTTAATATTAAAATTCCACCAACAGTTACTACCCCCCCCCAAAAAAAAAAAAAAAAGCAACATTTATATACTAACCTTGTATCAACTGATATAATTTTCCCTCCAAGATCCAAACGAGTTACAAATTGTTCTACTCCTGGTATATTACTTTTTTCACTTGGAGGTAAACGTCTGGCAACACATACCAAATGGTTCTGAATATCTAATCAATTAGAAAACACATTTATATGAAAAGTAACTTATTTAACTAGTATCTCAACATAAACAATTTTTAAGTACATCTGCACTAGTAAATCTTTTTTAAATCGCATACATTAATATAAATTATTGCAAGAAAATTCATTAAATTTACCAAAAGAATAGACTAAAGCTTACACATTTCTTTCAGATTAGCTTCATAGTTTTTTTTTAAACAAATGGAAAACAAAGAACATAAGACACCCAAATTCTCTTGATGAAAAAGAAAAAAAATTATATTTATTTACATTCCTAAGATTCAAAATTAACGCCTAAAAGCTCCTAATCAACTTTTACATTTTGCAAAATACTGATCTGCAATCATTGCCTTTAACAGCAGAAAGGTTACTAAAATTTTCAGTACTTGAAGTAGTATGCCACTCTTGGAAAAATTGACATTGCTGAGTGGTGATCCAATTTTGGGATTAGATAAAAACATTTTAATGGTGGCTAGCAGTGACCACATTTGATTTCAAATGTGACAGAAACTGCGTTTAAAAAGTACAGATAAGGCAAGATACAATTTAAATAAATTTTAAAGGGAAAATTAATAAATATAATTTATTTTTGAAAATTAATGATATTTATGTCACATTTTTTAATATAGTGGATTTTCCATTGCTATAGCAATAAAAAATAACAGAAAAAACTTTTCATGCCTTTTTTAGTGGTAGATAGGAAATTAGAAATGTTACAATACCATTGTTTAAATCAATAATCGGTGACTTCACATAAATATACTGTATTTGACGGCATATAAGATGCACCGTTATTTAGAAGGCCACACACATGTAGAAGTAGGAAAAGTTAAGTGTGTATAGATATTATCCGGGCGAAAATAGCTTCAGTATTGAAGTTAACCGTGTCCTTCCGTATAAGACGCAGTAACTTTTTTAGACCAAATTTAGCAAAAAAGTTGTCTTATATGCCGTCAAATACAGTAGGACCATATGCACTGTTTTTCAGAGCTGTTCTAATTCCCGAGCAAATACCATTTTGTGTCATACCCCAATCAAACAAACATAACTTCAAGAGAAACACATAACATAAAGGCAAAAGTTTGTCAATAGTGATGCCAACACAAAATAATAATAGCAGTACAAACCCATCGAAGAAAGCTGCTAACATTTCTTTTTTTTACATATAGTACTCCCCCCGTGAAACAGTTTTTAATATACGGTAATATCCAGAATTGGTGAAATGTTTCATAACTTCACATAAATATAATTATAGCCAGTCTTGCATTGTTTTTCAGAATTGTAATTCTAATTCCAGCAAATTCCATTTTGTGTCATACCCCAATCAAACAAACATAACTTTCAAGAGGAAAAGTAAACATAAAGGCACTGTTGTGAACTGTGCACAAAAGTTTGCAATCAAAAGCACAAACACACATTGAAGATGCCAACATTTCTAAAATAAGATAATACTTAAGTACTGTTTTTCACATGAACAAAAAAATTAAGTTCAGCAAACTGCAATACTTAATATATCTAAATAAATGAATAATTTAGCATTACTAGAACATTATTAAATACATATAATGTATAATTTAAAAAGACACACATACAGAAAAAATGCTTTCGCTAAGTAATTACAATGAAAATATTTTATAATAATATGTATTTTTAAATATCATATTACCTTTCTAAGTGATTAAAATAGAAATTCATCAAAAATTTACAACAGCCCATTTATACAACATTTTAATTATGTAAATTCCACATAATTTTTGGCTATTAAAAATAGAATTTAAATTAATGATCAATTAAGTCATTTTACCTGCATCCAACTCATCAGCTTCAGATTTCTCTCCGGAAAAGGGCAATAAGACAGCAGAAATTTGCATATTTTCATACTGAGATATTCGAGTTTGCTTCTCTTCCATAGTTTCTTCCTGATCTTCAGGAGGCTTGATCAGGAAGCGGCAATTGAAGGAACGGCTTTTGCTGACTGACGTATTAGGTTCAGACCAGCCAAACCCATTACCTAAAATTTAATCACAATAATTTGTTATACTAATATAAATCCATCACATTGTTTGTGATATTTCTGCAGAAAAATATAAATGGCATATTTTTAGTTGCTCGAACAGAGATAATAAAAGCACAAAGATAAAATGCAAAAAATATATATATAATTTATATATACATGTCTTTCTTAAATTAAATGACAAACTGTACTTTTTATTTTTATGGATTGAAAACTGAAATATAGACAGCAGATAAAACTCTACACAGCACCACAACATGCATACAATTATTAATATACCGTCTATGCCTGCCCCCACTTATTTTTTACACATAGACTAGAAAATTTTATAAATGATCTTTGTTTGGCTTTAATAGTAACGTATTTACGCAAACAGAAATAATGGTACTTCCCCACTGTTATGAACCATTACTTGTATAACACCAAGAATCCTCTTGTTAATGAATTGTGTTCAATATCAACCTTACTCAGAGGTCTTTGCAAACCACTGCCCACAGGCTGGTAATCACTTAGTATATCTATTAAGAAAAAAGCTGAGTAAGGTTGTCACTTTAGCACCCCTTAAACAAGAAGGATTTTGGCATCATTTTAAATAATAGGCAACATAATAATAATGAAGTACTGAAATCATAAATCTGGCAAATAAGTGCACATTTAAAAGATACCTTGAAATATCCACAAAAATAATGAACAGAAGTAACTAAGCAATTTTCTAGAAAAGAAATAATGTCAACCTTGTCAACCAACTCAGGAGGTAGCATGTACAATTATCAAAGGATGGAACAGTTTTGAAAAGATTATATTAAAATCACACTTGAGTTGCTCATTAATGAAACAAATACTTAATAATAATCACGATGAAAACAAATACTTTATTTTTGACATAAACTTTTAATATTTTATACATATTCATTACAGCTTACATACATACACATATTATTTATAACTTAAAACTCTAAAAAAACAAAATGCCAAATATGAGTACTTTAAAAATGTAAATTACATTTCAGCAAAACACTGTTATTGGATAATATATAAAACCGACATCAAAGATACTAAAAAAAATTTAAAAGCTTACAGATAATTGATGCTTATAAACAACTCAAAAATTTCAATAAAAGGCTGAAGTAAGCTTACCTATTGACATCGGTAACAAGTTGCTGCTAAATCTAGCGTGATCTCCTACGTGAATTATATTGTATATACTTTTATCAATAAGACTCTCCTAAATGGAAAGAAAGCAAGATAAATAAGGAAATAGGAAATATATATATATATATGTCAAATATTTGTTGATCACATTACCACTCTTAAAAAAATAGAAGCAGAAAGTTATTTTTTTTTCCCTTTATGGGATCATATTAACATTTATTATGTTACATGAAAATAATGTCCTTTTTCTTCAGCAATCTCTGAGCTTTTTTGATTGTGAATCCCTAAGATGAAAATATTTATAAATTGTACCCAATATAATATAATGTAGCATAATGAATATAATTTAATAAAGCATGTGCTTTAAAGCCAGTACAGTTATTAGGTTGAATTCCCCAGAAGCTAGCAAAAAGGGACACAGCGACCAGTGAGAAAACCTCTTACTCATGTGACAACAGATTTGCAAGGTGATCTCCAGAGTACCTCTAAATATCTTTTCACATACCTTCCCTGGATATGTAGAGCCCAGTTTGGAGACCACCAATACAGCTAATGCAATTTTTTTTTAACTTCATACTCCCCTAAAGAAAATTTTGAATTACAGGGAACACTTACAAAACTTATTTTTTTAGAATATTTAATACTCAATAGGTGTACTGCTGCCATTTTAGTTAAATCAATATGTATGAATACTGAGCTAAAAGCCCGACTATATAGCATCCAAATAAACAAAAAGCTCAAGTACAAGGAATATTTTAGAATTCCCCCCAGTGGAAAAATTTAGTAAGAGATTTGCAATACCATTACAGAGCTTGTAATACTATTAACATGTACACATTGTTACCAAACAGCATGATTTGGTAGCAATAATGAGTAATCATGATGTCAAACACAATCATAAGCAGTTTTGGTTTAATGTAAATTTGATGGATTCTTAATAAACCAGTTTATATTTTTTTTAAAGAAGGATTAAGTTCTATTTTTTCCTCACATTTTGAAAAAATCATCAATATTTGTTACTACACAAAGTGGAGTATTTTCAAAGTTACAGAATCTGGGCATCAACAAAAGGCATGATATGCAACTTTGAAGAGAGATAAACCATGGCAATGTGATAGGAAAAATTATAAGTTATTTAAGTTCTTTATATGCTGCCATCCACTAGCTAATAAATAAAGAATGACCTGCTCATTTAAATTAATCGTGAAATGATAGGCAATATCTCCACCAACTTTCATGTTCAGTGGGATTTTAATAATAAACAAATATGTTGGCTTTCATGACTGAAATGCATTTTTTCCCCCTTTGAAATCCTATATAACTTTAAATGTAGGCTTTTGATATTCAAGTTGGTAAAAAATAAAATGATTGTTTTGATAATTTTAGAACAAAAATTTTCACTAGTGATTTGGTTTTTCTAACACGAGTTCTGTTTTTTTTTTTTTACACTCAACTATACTGGAATTCAGTATTTCCTAAGCTTTCTGGATAGTTGAGCTTTTACTGTATTCAGTTTAGCTCATAAATCCACACAAACTTACCTGACTATATTTCAGAAAAGACTTCACATTAGTTGTAACAAACTCTATCTTGCCATCTGTGTTTACCATAAACAAGAAACCATCTAATGCCTATAAAAGAAAGAAAAAATTAAACTATTGGTTTACACAGATATAAAAATAGTTATCTAATTTTTTTACAACATACTTGTTAAGTGAAACAAAGAAGTCTCTTTAAAAAGATGACTGATGTCAACTTCTTTGGGAAAAAGATAATTGCTGGTTTTACTTGAGATATAGAGGGTAGAAGACAACAAATTTTACTGAATTAATCGCCAAATGCTGAAGGAAAACCATATTCAGTAATGAGAATTTTAAAATCAATTTATCATTTAAACAAACTTTGGCTTCAAAATAACAGTTTTCAATTAATCTTTAAGCATACCTGCCAACCTCTAAAGATAAAAATTCAGAAGATTTCTCCAAAATTCAGAACAAAATTCAGAAAGAACACGAAGAATTAATATCATGCTTTGATATTAAAAAAATAATTTATACAAATAGAAAAAAGAAAATTGTAATTACATTAGTAAATCTAAATTAAGTAGTAACTAAAAAATTTATTAGGAAACATAAAACAAGAACTTAATGTTACACAAAAAAATTATTGCAATGAATTTAGAGTGCATTTTTTGGCTTTAGCCAAAAATTCTTAGGAAAATTTCCTGTCATAACAATTAGTTTCCTCATAACATTTAGCAATTAAAATGTTTTCTAGAGTTTTGGGTGAAATTGAAGAACGAAACATAGTTTTGTTTTTCTTCACAACACTGAAGACTCTCTTCGCACTCAGCATTACTGTGTGGAATTACGAGAATAGCACATAAAACTTTTGCTAGTCTATCATATTTTGGTGTTCCATCAGCTCTTTTTATTCTTTTTAAGGTACCAACGAGGACATCAAGTCTATCTTCTCCAGAACTGGCAAAGTCTTCAAACTGTGCAGCAGAAAATTGGTTCTGTAGTTCATCTAAAGCATCATTATGGCATTCATTTTCTTTAATTGTTAACAAAAATGGAAATTTATCAATAAAAACAAGAATTTTTTCAAAAGATGAATTTTCAATTTGTTTCAAATTTGCCACTTCAGCATTTAAAAGAACTTCATTTTGCAAAGGAAACTTCCTTACAATGTAATCACAGACTGAGGAAAAGTACCTTCTAACATATTGAAAAAATTCTTTTTTCTCACGATCTTTCAAAGAATTTACAAGTTCCCTGGTTTGATTTCCAATTATAAGATCATTGCCATCCGTTTGATTTGCCAAACTATTATAGGCAATATAAAATCAACACACTGTTTTTCACAACGGACGGCTTTACAAACTTAGTTATAAAGTTCTTTCAAAAGATCATTAAGAATTTGGATACAGCAGGGGAGATTTTGGCGAAGCTGATTGTAGAAGGGTATTTAACACTTTCAAAAATCTTAATGGTACTTAACACAAAACTACAATATGCTTTGTTCAAATCCGAAGAAAGAAGATAGAAAATCCTTTCCTCCCGGCTAATAGAAGACTGTTTCTTCTTCCCTTCAACTTCTTTAACAAAGTTGACCTTTGAGGAGTCTTCTAAGCATTTTCTTTTTAAAGGGTTTGATTCTGTGTGTTGGCTTTTCCCTTTTAAAGCATTTTGATTAGAAGCAAAGTTGGTTTCGGAATCTTATATGCCGACAAATTTTGATGGGATCTGTGGTTTTTTTTGTTTTGGTTTCTTCTTCGTGGAAATATTTTAGCAATGCATCCCACTGTTCAATAAACCTTCTTAGCGCTCTGCCTAAGGATAACCATCTCGTGCATACATGTTTCAGAATTTTTCTCGTTTCACCAGAGCACAGTTCTTGGAAATTCTTTAGGTTTTCTTTCCTTTATACACTTTTTCCAGATAGAAAAACACATCAATCAGAAGCTGGTCATATTTAATGGTAAAGCAGCTGCAGCTTTTTCTTTTTTCTGCTGCCAAATTAATTAAGTGGCATGGACATCCAATAACAATTAATTCCATTTTGTTCTTTTTTGAGGAAAGAGGATACACCCTTTTGTCAACACCCCCCATGACATGAGCATTATCTGCACCAAATGAAATGCAGTTTGATATTGGGATGTTAAGTTGTTTCAACTCATTAATTACCAAGGAGGCAATATTTTCCCCCGTAGCGTCTCCATTTAACAATGGGAAGACGCAAAAGATGTTTTTCATTTCATTAGAAACATCACAGAAATATGTGACAACGATGGGGTAAAGCTTCCAATCGCTGTCGTTGATGCCATCGATTGACATCGAAAATGCTGAATTCTGGAGTGCAGCTATCGTTTTACTTTGTGCATCGCAAGCAATTTCGTTCACAATAGAAGATGTTTTCGTGCGAGCACAAGCATATTTCTGAGCAATCTTGGAGTCGGGAAACATCCGTCTGAAAAGTTGACCGGCATGATCGGCAGCGCTTAGCGGCACGATGTGTTCGATGAGGAATGCAGTAAACAAACACTCTGCCAAAATGACATCGGCATCCAAATTCGTAGCCGAATTTGAAAAAAAATAACCCACTTTCTTTGGCGTAGTAGAAGCCGAAGCATTAACTTCATGCGTTTTAGACTTAACATGCTTCACAATGTCGCTTCTTCCACCGTGACTTATTATGAAGTCACACATGCACACATTGCAAAATGCATAGTTATTTCCTTTGAAGGATTCTTTAATTGTTGGAAATTCGGCTTTGTAGGCAGGCCGAAAATATTGAGAATACGATTTTTTGGAACTCATTTCGTAATGACGTGTTAAGAAAATTCATAGCACAAACAAGCAAAAAAAAAAAAAAAATTAGAATGCGACAATCCACGCTAAAAAAAATAATCTGGCGCCCACAAAGAAAAGAGTGGGAGAAACAGTTCAGTGCATCGGATTGGCTGGTTAAGCGACGAGTTGGAGAAAACTGCAGGTTACTGGATTCGAAGTAGTCGGGAGTTCGCAGTAAAACACCATGCAATTGGCGAAAATCACTGAATTTGGCGAAAAATTGTAAAATTTTGACAAAAATCCATAAAAAACACTTGAAAAAGGAAAAAAAAATCGTAAAAAATGGATTACGATCGTAAAATCGTAAATTACAAAAAATTCGTAAAAGTTGGCAAGTATGTTTAAGTGAAAATGAAGCTACTGCATTTTTCCACAGAAGAGGTATTCCATCTTCCACCTGAATTTGTGAAAACAAGCCTGAAATAAAACTATATATACCCTCATGGAAGCCACCTGGAGATATGAATGTGAAAAACTGCTGGAAATTGAAAAAAATTTCCCATCAGCAAACTGGTTCATTGCTTCAAAAATTACATTCCTAATAGCAAAATGATTGAAGATTAGAAGATTTGGGTATGGAGCCTAGACATTGTGACATTTTGGTAATTATGCAGTATGTTATCTATCACTTCTAGTTATTTATTAATGTCTTAAATGGCATCGTTAAAATGATATTTTTAAATGCGAAGAAACGATAAAATAGTGAGAAAAAGAAATGGTTAAAACAACAACCAATTTTAGTGTCATCACCTAAGTATTAAACAACTAACTAAAAACAATAGATTGCATAGTGCACAATAATCAGCATTTTTTTTTTTTTTTTTTTTTTTTTTTTTTTTTGTGTTGTTGTTGTTCTTTTGGTCACTAATAAAACTGGACAAGTATGCTTTATCACTTATATGTAACTTTTTTTTACAGCAAACTACAATGCTTAGACACCCCTTAATAATGATTATGCTGTCCATGACTATTCTGATAATATTAATGAGGCAAAATATCTTTCAAAATAGCAATGGAATTTAATAAATGCAACTAGAAATGTACATCTAGCCATTTTAATTAGAAAAAAGCAAAAGTTTGTTTATAAGGGTCCATAATGTTTTTAATGCAAAAACCTCATACATGAACGATTCACAAAATATTTGGAAATTATTTGACCAATGCTTAAGCCCTAAGCTTAGTACTCGGAAGGCATTCCACATTGGAAAAGGATATTTTAATGTAAAATTTAAAATCAGGCAAAAAAAAAAAGAACCTTAGTTTGGTATATTGTTACTCTTCTGTTATTGAGACTGGATTCAGAAAAGCATGTATTTATGAATGTATATATATATATGTACGTATGTATACATGTGTGTGTGTTTGTGGTCCCGATAACAAAAGTGTGTAACCAGCATATTTTCAGGAGTAAAGAAATTCTACAGACTCCCCTTCCCTTCCTGAAGAGAGATTTATATCCAATCACCTCAAATTACTGAAAATCTATGGCCCGATTGAGGGGGGGGCCTAATTTTAAATGCCTTACTAAAATCGAAACCACTATACTTGGCGACTCAATAACGAATATATTTTCCATGTTTTTGAATACAAATGGATCAGATTTTGGTCATCTGTTAACAATATCCAAATAATAACATTGACCACATCATGCAACATCTACCATATGTAACACCTGTTAAAAACCTGTATCAAATTTATTGGATTTTTTCATCTTAATAAAAAAATAAAGACTCAATTCAGAAAATTATAAAAATTTGTTAACAAGTATGATTTTTTTTTAATCCTGTTTAACTATAAGAAATTTTGAAAGACAGAATGTTATTACAGTACTTACAGAATTCAGTGTAAAATTCCTATTCTTTTATCTGCTGTAACATGACGTAAATGCAAACATTTGGAGAAGCACAACTCGTTCAAGAAATTTTAAAATATACAATATTTATTCACATATTTTCTCCTCTTTTCCTACTAATTTTAGAGTCTTAAAACAGGAAGGAGAAAAATATGCTGTGTTTACTATTTCTAAAACGATGGCTTAAATGATACGCATAACACATTATTAAGACACACTAATATTATATTATGTATTTTGAAGAATTTACCAATTTTAATAATAATTTTCTTTTTGCTTCACAAAATACTTTACAAGTGCCCGTTTTACATTGTTACCATTCATTACCAGAAGCCTCTAAATTACATGCTAAAAAGAATGGAGGAAAAGTGCATCAAGGGAAAGAAATGTATGAGTAAACTTTTTTTTTAAATATATATTTTTAGGAGTAGAGGATTTCCCAGAAAAATGCCTAATTTTTATATAAAAATATATAAGAAGGGAATATAATGCATATATTTTCAGACAGTAAAAAAATAATATAAAAAATACATGCAAATAGAATTTTTGGACTTTCTAATTAATTGTTATAATAAGTACACAAATAAAAAAACATATAAGCTCAATTTAAGTTTTCCCAAAATGTTCCAAAATTAAGCTCTAACACTATGTAAATAAAGTAGAATGACTTAAAGTTTTGAAAATAAATAATTGTTAATAGTAATAATTATTTTAATAATTATTTTTTTTAATTTTATATTTGATCATCATTAAATCATCAATTGGCTGATTCAGTTTAAAAAGCAAAATTTCCACTATTAAGATATTAAGAGAAAATAAACAGCAAAACTCATACAAAAAAAATGTCTGCTTAATTTAGTAATATTAAAAATATAAAATATTAATAAAACTGCACCAATGTTAGTTAAAAGGAAATTTTGCTCATTCAAAAAACTTCATAATTAAATAAAAATTGCATATTGATACATACATGAAGTAAAAGAGGACCTAGATGATCACTGCCAAAGAAGTTTGGTTTACTGGATGAAACTTCACTCTTCTGAAGGTCATCACTTGAACCACACTCCTCAGCTAATAGTAAAAATTTTAATATTAATAGTACATATGTATGACATTCTGCATAACAGAGAACCTTTGATAATTCACAGAAAGTTATTAGTTTGCAAATGAAATCATGAAAATTCAGTCAAATCAAATACACATGACAACATTAAGAAATACTTCAAGTTTATACCATTTATCTGAAACACTCATTAATAGAATTTAACTAAAAGAAAATATGAATTTGGGGGTAATAAGAAGAAATAGATATAAATGCATTAAATACATTTAAAAGAATGGATAAACTAATTGAAACAGTTTTAAAAAATATTTTTATATTGCTCTAAAGTTTCAATGGTAGGCTTCATCCATCTAAACATTAACTATATACAGACTTTCTACCAATAATTTTATGAATCCCCAATTTTATTTCCAATTCATGTTCCTACAAAGAAAAAATATGCAATTCTGATATAACGGTGCTTTCTATCCATCTTTGTAAAGTGCCAAGTTACAAGGTGGTGCTATAATTTTTTAAAAAGGCGGAAGAAAAATATATTAAAAATAATGCATTAAAAAAGGAAAGAAATTTGTAATCTACATTTCAGATTACATTTAAATTATTTTAAAGGAATTATCCAGAATTTCAAAATTCCTAAATAAAAATATCTTTTGTTGATAACTCAAAATTAAATCTTTGCTTATGAAAGAGCAATGAAAATTCAAACTCAATGTTCAAGAATTTCAAAAAAAAAAAAAAAAAAAAAAAAAAAAAACTTTGTCATAAATTCGAGGAATTATTTTCTTGAATAATTACATTTTTTAGAGTATAATTCCTATGAAGATTTAATAAAATAAAATCTGATCTCAATGATATTAAAATAAAGAAATTAAAATAAAGAATAAAAATGTTTTTCTCCTATATCATATCAAATAGAAACTGCGTAAAATGTGACTAGTTAAATGTGTAGGCCATTTATGGGCTGAAGTTTTACACAACATAAATTTATTTTGACTCACGAGTAATAACAGAAGTAGTAAAAAGTGACAATAGTTATGACCCACAGTTTTATTCATTTGACAACTGACTGAAAACTGATGACGACCAATAAAAATCTTACGATTTTTTCATCACCTACTCTATGTTATGGCAAATATATTTTATACTTCAACTTTATGTGCACTGATTGCATTAATACTAATAATTATCAAAAACAACATTTGCATAATCTAAAGAATGTTAATTATTTTAATATATGCAAAATTTTATTTCCAAGAAGGTCACTCACCAAGTTTAATTTGACGGATTTGGTTGACTGTTTCCTGCAGTATGGCACACTTGTCAGGGTTGACAGAGAGGGAACACATGTCAGAGGCACTAGCAGAAATATACCCTGCTAGCTCATCTAGGTAGTCGTTTGATGACTCCCTATGTAGTTTTTCATTAAGGCACTTATTACTTTAAGGAAGAAAAAAATACTGCATTTAGTTTCCAAATTAATTATACAAATTACAGGAAATTATTCAGAAAAATGCATTCAGAAAAAAAAGTCTCTTAACTTCAATTAGAATTTCTAAATTTCTGCATTCTGGGAAGAAATTTATCAAAATCTACCTCTCAGTGTAATATTCTATCATTTTTACAAAAAATCATCTATTATCTTTACATAAAAACCCTTTCTTAATCATCAATCCATGCTTATAGGAAAATTCCCATTTGAAGAAGAGCCTCATACATAAAAACTCTTTCTTAAGACAGTTCTTTCCCCCAGTAAATGTTAAAAAAAAAAAAAAAAAAAAAACCAAGCTTTTATACATAAGAATTTTACAAATAAGAATTACATTCATTAATAGTGATGACTATATTAATAATCAAAATGAATTTTACAATTTTTTTTTCTTTACAATTCATAAACTGGTCAAAAATTATTAATTTTAAAAGCTATACCAGACAATACAGAACAAAACATTTTCAAATTTACATAAAACTGAAAGGAAAAAAAAAAAGAATGTACATGGAAAAACAACAAATTAAAATAGTAGTATTTAAAAAAATGCTTTTCAGTATTCAACAATATTCAACTGCCTATACAATCATATGGGACACTCATAAAAAAATTTCTAACAATATTACCAAAACAGGTAATAAAATATAGCCCTAAAAGACAACATACATCAAATTAGTTAAAATTATTAATTTGTGCAAGCGCCTCATTTTGAAGTTATTAATCCAATCTTATCAGTTCCAAGTTTTACAGGAAATATCCTCTATCTCACACAGCTCTAAGCATATTAATTAAAAATGATAGACGAGGAGATACTCAAAAGAAACCGAAATAATTTTTTGGTAGGCAGAGCTTTTGTAGTACAGTCAAAAGTCGTTAATTTGGACACCCATAATTCGGAATGATCTATAATCCGGACATCAAAACTAAAAACTTTCTGCGCATGCGCCACGTTGACACATGCGCAGAGGCGTTCACGCGTGCGCGTAAGACCTTTTACGACTGCGCATATGAGTGTGCGCAAGTGCAGAATATGTTTTCGCGTGCGCATTTTATGTATAATGGACGTATAAGCTAAAATTATCTAATTATCTATTTCAGTTAATGTTGATGATTGCGTTGTTCCTTAATTTTCGAATTGCATCCGGCTTATTATTTTTTGCAGACTGTAAGAGCAATTTTATAAAAGTAAGCTTAAACTTTCGATTATATCAAATAGAATTTCCGATATATATTTGTTAATATGTAAAGGATATAAAGCGAAAGTATGTTTTGAAATCCGAAATCTGTTTATCAATTTCACGCTGCTCGGCGGCGGGCGCCTAATGAATTGGAAGTTGATTTGTCAGCACTATCTTCAGCGCAGATGTTTTTATTTTATTTGGCTTATAATTCCTTACCAAATGTAGTATTTCATCTCGATATGCTCCGTCTTTGATATGATTTAAAACAAGTTCCTCGTCATTATAATTCGCTTCCGATAGCGAAGAAAAGTGACAGAGGTTATTGAAAACAAAAAACAAGAAATTATGTCTGTTTAATAGAATTAAAGAGAAAGTATTATCACATGAAACGAAGCAAAACTTAAACAACTTACATTGAAAGAAATGTTTAATAAAGTAAACAAATAAATATTAAGCTTTTTCTTTTTGCAAATTTTGATACCCTTTAGATCATAATTGTTCTTTATTTCATAAATTTCGGTTTCATATTTTTAATTTAGAATTTCTGCATGCCATCTTACGAGATTTAAACTGATGATCTATAATCCGGAAAAATCGATAATCCGGAATCGCCGAAGTCCCGACGAGTCCGGATTAACGACTTTTGACTGTACTAAGTTTTTGCTGCTAGAAGCATACAGAGCAAACAAACGTTAAAACCAGAGTCAGTGAGTTCCATAGCTGAAGAAGGTCGGGACTAGATGGACTGACAGAGTTTATAGCAACATTGTTTTGTGCGATTGTCGTTTAAACAATGCCCGATTTTTGTGAATAGTGTGCGGTGCTGAAATTCTGCTTTTTGCTCAGAGAAAGTGGAACAAACTCTTGAAATGTTAAAAAAGGCATAGAAGAACAATGCTATGGAGAAAAAACTCATCAAGTGTTTGAGTGTTTTCCCTATTTCAAAAATGGTGAAATGTCAACTGATGACAAACCTCATTCTGGTCAACCTTCCACAGCCTGAACACATGAAAATGTTGGAAAAATTCATCCCATCATCAATGAAGATCGACGATGGACCATTGAAGAAACTGCGGGGAGTGACTTAGAGTTCAGTGCAGCGAATTTTGACAGAAAATTTGAGAATGAAAAGGGTGGCTACCGAATTCGTGCAATGACTGCTGAACAAAAGCAAGGTCTCGTGGAAACATGCTGTGCTTTGAAAGAACAATCCCAAAATGATCCAAACGTTTTGTTCAAAAATTATCTACGATAGGTGACAAAATGACTTCCGAGTTCACCTCACCCCAAGAAAGTATGTCAGGTGAAATTAAACATTATGAGTAAAACAATGCTGATTTTTTTGTTTTTTTAAGTGAGAGAAGTCATCCACTCAGAGTATGTGCCCCAGGGTAGACTGTGCAATGGTGTGCACCGGAAGCTGCAAAACTTGTGGCAGTCAGCGGACTGGATTTTCCATCATGACAATGCCACTGCTCGCACAGCCCTGTCTGCACAATTCTTGAGCAAAAATGGTATGACCCTTCTTCCTCATCCGAACTTGGCCACGTGATCTTTTTTTTTTTTTTTTTTTTTTTTTTTTTTTTTTTTTGTTTTCTAGAAAGTGTTTTGCGGATGCTGCTGAGGTGCAGAAAAAAAACCGAAGGAAGCACTGATGAACATCACAAATTTAATTACGAACTTTTCCCACTCGTAAATCCACTAATAACATAGCATTTAGTGATGCGAGTGTCATATATAAGTTTGAAATAATTATTTTCATCTCTTATTGATTTATATATAGTTTTCGTTTTTTCAACATGAACAATAATGAGCATTACATCTATGTTATCATCAGATTTTCAATTCAAATTACACTCTGCTGCAAAAAATATATGCACCCAGAAAGAACCAAGCCACAACTATGAAACTCGGCAGTAGTATAGTATTCAAGTAGATAACCAAATGACCTAAAACTGGGGTTAAAAAAGTATTTTATTTATGAGTAGCAATACAAAAAATGTTAAAATCAGCAGGTGGTAAAGCCACCCCTGGCAGTTATACAGTACAAAGTCCGAAATCCAGACTCGGCGATTCCGGATAATAGATTATCAATTTAAATCTGGTAAGATGGCATCAGAAATCATACAATTAAAAATATGAAATTGTAATTTATTAAATAAAGAACAATTATGATCTAAATGGTATCAAAATTTACAAAAGAAAGCTTAATATTTATTTGTTTACTTAAACATTTCTTTCAATGTAAGTTGTTTAAGATGCTTCCACAAAAAATTCAAAAAGTTCTTTTTTCTTTTGTCATATACAGTGGACTTTCTCATGCCATACTCCTCCCATAATTTTGAGATGGATATGCCTTTATCCATTTTTTGCAGCAATTCCACTTTTTGCTTAATGGACATCGAAACATGGTTTCGATTTGTAGATTCTTTGGCAACTCCAGAATTGAAAATTCTTTTCGACATAATCGAAAGTTCAAGCTTAGTTTTTATAAAATTGCCGTAATAACAGCCTGCAAAAAAATAATAAGCTGGATCAAAGTAGAAGATTAGGGAGCAGCGCAGTCTGCTACATTAATTGAAATGCCTTAGAAGCAGTAAAGATAATTTTAGCCTAGCTTGATAGCGTCCATTATACATTATTGGCTGTTATCACAAGATGGCAATGAAAGCCAAGTTGTTTCGCTAAATTTTGACTTGTTTATAGTGCGTATTGAATTAAGCCTGAATTGTAATAGTTTATTTACTAACTATACCTACGCTTATTTCTTGCACATGCTTAAAACTAATCCGAGTCCTAAATAAATAAACTCCCACATGTATTTAAGGCTTTATTTAGGGCCGGCGCTCGATATTGCCTGGTGCAGTCTCTATGGGTCCTAAATTCTGCTACAAAGTGCTTTCCTAAGTTCTAAATTTTCACCAAGCTTAAGCTTAAACGGCAAAATTAAGGGATGAGAAGTTTTTCCAGTTCTGGAAAAACTTCTCATCCCTTAATTTTGCCGCTCAGTGCTTCCCAAAATTCCAAAGATTTCGTCTTCCTTAAATTCTGCCGTCCGACATATTCTGCCACCGCTTCTAGGTTTATGGTGAATAACATATCTGTTATTCTTAATTAAAATAGCACTAAATATAATCTTTTGGCCAATGAGTTTCATTAACAAAATCTATTTTTACCATATGAAAAGAAATTTTTGTTGAATTTTTCCTCGTCAACATTTCTTAGAGCATTTAAGAATCTATAACCATCGCCAAGCGTAATGTTAGCATAAATGGTTACCATACTCTTGTTATTCAATTACTAATATAAAAAAAAAGTTTAGACATCACTGCATGAGTTATTACTGAAGCTGCCATGTATTGATAAACATGCAGTCATGAAAGCAAAATATAATAAATAATGACTCGCCAGGTTGGCATCAGGGATATAAAATAGGTGAATGTTTTGGGTCGAGATGTATGCCAAATAGATACTGAGCTACGGAGCCAAATTATGAATCTAACACAACGGGGTATTTTATTTAGTGCTTAAGTGAAATTAAGAATCGGAATTTTAAAGTGAAAAATCTCCACATGTTTTATTTTGGAAGGAAAAATCAAATGCGCATGCGTAAAGCATTAATAAAAAAAAAATGTTTGTGGCTTCGAGGTCCGGATTTTAGATCATTCCGGATAATGGCCGTCCTGATTTCGGACTTTGTACTGTACAAGCCAATACTCGGCCGGGCATCGAATCTGTTAAGTTGCCAATGTCTTTCAGTGATAGTGCCA